CGCGCGCATACGCTCATCATTTTTCCCTAACGCGCCAAAAGAAGTTCAACTTCAAAAATATTTTTTTGCACAAATCAGAACATTAAACTTCATAGTCAATCCTTCATTTAAGAAGTGAAAATTTTCACTTACACTCATTCGATTTTTCGAGTTTTCTGAATACAAACAAAAAACTTTGCCGTTTTTGGGAAAATATTGGATAATTCCCCAAAAAGGGTCCAATTCTTCTGAATTATTATTAAAAAAAGTATCACTAATAATAATTATAATGAACGCTTTTATCGACAGGAAAATAAAAGAATGTACAACAAAGTGAATTATTTGATTAAAGGCAGAGTTTTAGCTCCAATTTATTCCCTTCAAAAGTAAGAACAGGTTTTTTTTTCATATGAGACAATTTTAACCAGCACAATATACATGAACTAATGAAGAATACACACTTTTTCTAATGATTTAAGATAATGAATTACGCAAATTAACCCGGGAATTTTCAATCTGTTACTACCAACAATTCATCCGTCGATTTTTAGAATTTAATAGTCAGAATCGGGCTTTCAAAAAGTTATTCGCTTAGTTTAGAAAAAATTGCCAGAGGTAGGTATTTTTGAAAAAAAAGACAAATTCGAAAATCGGAAAAATGGAATACGAAAATACAAGTATTTAAATTAGATTCAAGCCTTTTTAGGAAACTCTATAAATATTGAAGGATCGACATCACGATTTTGACTTTGAAATTATGTGATGGAAAAGATCTTTATCGTTCATTTTCTAACTCGTTTAAAACAAACAAAACCAATCCAATTGCTAAGCAGTAAAAAAAGAAATGAGTCAACTGCTCAAATTCCTTCTTTACAACAAATGTTTTGGTCAATTAAATACCATATCATTGCCCGTGTATCATCCAGATCTAGCCCCCATAGAATATCACTTACGGAGCCCTGACAGTATTATTTTGGAACCTCGAACGAGATCATAATGAAACGTGGTGTTTTAGTTTATACTTTCCATGGTAACTGTCGTTACCACGAGACCGATAACCTTCAAAAGTTGAAACTGGTGCCATCGTTGTTAAAGCGATTGAATCTGCATTCAATCGAGCGCAACTCCAGAATTATTTCTATGTGCATCATGCTAGACATACTGATAAATCATCGATTGATTGGCTAACTCATAATGTAGGCACNTATTTTAAACACAATTTATTCCTATCTACCTCACTTCACCTCCCTATTCTTCAAACCACCCCATATTTCAATAAATAGGAGGAGGGTCCGGGTGATACTTTGATTGAAAGGTATTTTCATTCTACGCATGATCCTGCTTTCGTTTTACATTTTTATATGAGTGTTCTCGAGAAATAAGTATGGGCAATCAACCTTTGTCCTGCTTTATATAGGTACTTCAAGTCTCTAGACGATCCTAGTTTTGTTTTAAGTCATTTCAATACAACAAATAAAAAATATAAAAACTCTCTTCAGTTTATACTCGACACAAAAACGTCCATCAGTTGAACAAAAACAGCAAAAAATGTTTAGGGGATAGGCTTTTATTACCAGAACAATGAATGTGCCAAATGAAAACAGGGTCATGTGAAAAATAACAATATATTTCAATCAAAGGGTCACTCAATCCCTATTCCTGTCTGAAAAAATATGGGGTGGCTCTCAAAGGTAAGGGGATGAAATGAAGGAGACTAAATAAATAATATCATAACATAACATACTAAATATAGAGTTTGACTGTCTTGCCATTTCTAGCTGCACAATATAATAGAGATTATGGGGGTGGACAATTTATGTTATGGAAATTTATTATATCGTAGGTTACTATTACATTCAAGCAAAATGTTAAAAATTCTGAAAAAATATTTTTCAAAATAATATGAGCAGGCTGCATTGTTCCAGATGTGTTGAAAAACTAGAAGAATAAGTTTTGGTGGACTGTCGTAGCAATGAGCAAACCGAGCCGCTAGCTGTATCTAGCCTTAAATGAGTGCATAACCTTGTGAAACAATTGAATGATATGATAAAGACTCAGAGACTTTGAAAACTACTCCCAAAATTGGGACATAAGTAACGATTAAATGGAAAAAAAGGTAACTGTCATCGGGAACAATACAATGGTCGAAGAAAATTTACGGGGNTTTCATTTTTTTATATTCTCCGAAATAACAATTCATTCGAAAAAAAAAAACAGCGAAACGAAAAAAAACAGCATTTTTGGTTTCCAGCGTATAACTCGAGGAGGGCGAGAGTCTCCGTAAAGTTTTTTTGACCATTGTATTGTTCCCGATGACAGTTAGCTTTTTCCCATTCAATCGTCTTCGTATCTGTTACGGTTTAGAATATAGCAATGTTACCATATGATAAAAGAAACGGCCTGTATACAATCATATACAATACTGTTATTCAACTCCATGAAAAGATCCAACTGACTAATTCGCACAGACACCTGATGAACAGGGGTTAAAATAAAACAGAAATCAACTCTTTTATGTAAAATAATTGGTGATGAACTCTTTAGATGAAGTAGTAGCGTATTCTGCTTTTGAAACATATTATTTCATTAGCGGAAAAGAGCTAAGTATGCTGCACCGGTTTAAACAAATAACACATGAAAAATCTGCGAAAAACAGAAGGCTAAAATGAATTTAAATTTATGGCGCGATATGATTTAAAGAAATGTTTTTTTATTGTTGGGTTTTGATAGTTCAACGTTCAGCTAGCATAGCTCACGATATCTTCAGTAAATGAAGAGTAAAAAAAATCGGGAAGATCCCCAAATTATGGCTTAAAAATCAATGTAGAAATCCCAAGTGGCTCAGCAGTCTTTAAAAATCGCCACTGCTCAAAATTGGCCCTTCGAGCCGGATCGCCATTAAAAATCACCAGATCTTTGCCATCCACATCTACTGCCTGAGACAGCATGCACATATTTAAATGACAGATATTCGCTTTCCCTTTCGTTGTCGTTTAGAATAATGAAAACCGATTCCAGCTCGTCTCCCCCTCGGAACGCTATTAGTGCGAGCGAATTGCAGACGGCGTAAAATGTGAGAGAATCGAGAGGTCGTCTAGGCAGCCACCCCCGCGACCGATCAATAATACCACCCCTACACCGGCAGACCGGAGGACGCCTACCGTCGCGCCAGGGTGGCACCGACAATTATGCAGACGGTTTACTTGTTGCCTTCAGACAAAGTTGAAGATCAAGTCGAGAAGTTGAACCGGCGAAGGATTGCGAGTTGGGCAATTGTGTACGAAAACTGCACCTTAGGAACTTAAAATGAAGGATCAAGAAAATTTTTTATACAAAATAACGGGAATGCTTTATGAACTATTGTTTTTTGGGATTTTGATCTTTAAATTTGAATAAAATGAAGTGTGTGTGAGATATCATCGAAATAGTTTATTTGGTAGAAAGACTTATGTATGCCATTACCTATGTGTGGAATTAACATCGTTCAAATTTCCGCCACGGCTTCTCTGGGTGGAGCGCATCAGAAATCAGGTTGAATTTGACCGACGACATGGGTTATGTTTACCTTGAGGACCGCTGTGGTTTGTGCCTTATTCGTATACATCTGCCACTTGAGAAAACCCCACAAGAAACAGACTAACGTGGTCAAATCGCACGATCTCGGTGGCCAGCTCACATCACCTCCACGTGAGATGACCATGTTCTCAAATCGCTCGTGCAGAATATCCAATGTGGCATGAGCTTTGTGGTACGTAGCGTCGTCCTGTTGAAACCACATTTCGTTGGTGATCATCCAATCAGAGTTGCCAACCATAGCGGAATTCCGCTACCGTTGGGGAATTTATTCGACGGTAGCGGATTTGAACATAAAGTAGCGGAATTTTCTACAAATAATCAATATTGAAAAAAATATGGAAGAAGAAGGGGCAGTGGACAGCACTCAAAGCTAACAGCTGGGAATTGAATGCACAGTCAATACGTTATAGTCTTAGTAGCTGGGGTCATTACATGATGAAAGAGAAGAAGAATATTTTTGGATATTTTCATTACTATCATAAACCATATAACGTCCAATATCTTGGAACTAAAAGTCTCGACTGTCTCGAGTATTATGAATTATATGTAACAAATCACAGTGGAAATGGAAGATAGCTAGCTCATCTGTTTGTAGTTCATGTTGATCGTTCATGAGCTCAGTGAGACTATACGTACGTGAACAAATTGATATTTATTTTTACGTTTCAAAATCTTTATTTCAAGCTAAGAAATCAACTGCTATGGGCGGTATTTTATGCATTTCCGTTAATCTAACCATTTGTCAGACTTGAAGTTAACAAATTTTAAACTGAAATTGAAATACTGACAACTAATGTTGAAACATACAAATCAAGTTGACAAGGCGTTTTAAATTAACGTTGCCACAAAAATTATTTGCAGTTTTTAAAGGATACCATCTGAAAAGAACATTGCTATGGTTTTGCTTATTTTCTTATTATCAATATCTCAACATGAAATAATTTTTGAGTATATTGTAATAAGTTTTGAGTGTATTTCATCGAATTTTGGAAACAACATGATTCTAATTTATTTCATCTTAATTGTTGCAATAAACTTCTAAGCGAAAACATTTTTGAAGAGAGAATGAAGAAACGATATATCACAAGCCTATACTTCCCTTTTTAAATATTGGGGGTTTGTACATTCGACGGGGGTTAAAGGTAGGGGCAGCATTTTTCATGTCACGTTATAATTCATGTCAAATTATAATTTAAATTTGACATGTTTCGGGATTTTGTTAAAATATGTACCGTAACCGAAATAATGAATTAATTCCATTTGGCTTTTACACACTGTATAATAGAACACAGCAAATCTTGGTTTTTGTAATCGAATATCAATCCATAATCATTCAAAACTTCGTGTTTCGTTCGAAATATTTGATAATCGAATCAAAGTTAAATCATATCATTCTACAACAATATGATTTTTTAACAGTGTTGAAAATGAAAAATTATACTTACCACTCCTCCTCCTACCGAATGCACCAGAATGGACTTTCCTTTAGACAGACCCGAAATTTCGAACAGTAGAATGTAGGCTACAGTGTAATTCATAGTGATGGTAACAGCGTCCAGGTGAGAAACGTTTTTGGGTAGTTTGTAGACATATTTAGCGGGTACTGAGACCAGCTCAGCCCAAGCTCTGTATTCCGGTAGAGCGACCACTTGATCTCCTACCTGAAATTAAGATAAAGAGTTAATATTTTCCATTCCATCAATATAAGATTCATAAAGTAAACGCTGAAGAACAACCATTTTTGATAATAAACAGACACCTAAAGTATACACCCGTTGAAATGTTTCCTCAACAGTAGTGTTACGCCCATGGTAAATCTAACTAGACGACCGAGCGAACGAAGCGCCGATGGCAAGTCCGACAACGTAGCATGCATGACGTTACACGAAAAGACGCGAAGGTAATTGAAGGTTGTAGGGAGATCATTCGAAAATAATCGATATAGTTCGAGAGAGGAGAAAGTGAAATAACTGTGATAATTACAAAATGTGATTGAAATATAATTAGTTGTAATTTGTGTCATTAAATTATTCAATAGAAAAAAAGCTTTTTGATAGTATACTTTTCCATCATTACAAAAAATGTGGGAATCTTCCAAAGGAAGAAAGAATAACTGCATTGAAAACTCTTCATAAAGTATTTTCTTTCAGAAATAAAATGGAAGAAAAAACAACTACTTTCACATGAATATTCAAATACACGTTTGTACATAACGTTTGTACATAATTACATTCAGTTTGTACCATTAAAAATCCACCCATTAGGAATCCACCCATTAGACGTAATACTAGTGACAATCAATAGGTCGTAACAATGAGTACGATTCAAATTTTATTGGTATTCTCAAGAAAAATGAGTGAAAATAAGTCCCACTTTGGTTGTAACGTGATTTTCTAATAAACACATGCAGTTTTCTGAAATCTCCAAAAAATGTAAGTTTTCTTTAGAAATCCCTTAAAAGAAAGACCTACTGAAAACAAAAATGTGTAGAATCAGTGAAATGAGGTAAATTGTAGCTGAGGGTGTAGGACAGAATATGTAATATATAATTTTTTATAAATTCATTTTTTGCAGCGAATAAGATATTTCATTTGATAAGAGGGAACCAGGGTGGAATTTAAGAAACTCTGTTTCTCCGTATATCAGTAAGTCCAATGAAGCTAACATTTGGTATATAGGTGCTTCTTAGGTCTTAGATCCGCACTAAGAAAGGATTTTTAAATATTCCACCTGGGGCGCCAGTCGCGGGAAAAAAGGGGCCTTCATAAAATGAAGTTACCTTTTCATCACACATCCGGTATTTAGTATCAGCATTGCACCCGTGCGGAGCGGGGACGCTCGCCAGTATTTTATATACATCAAAAGACTTCAAACTCAAACTAAACCCAAGAAACTAATGGTATTTCTTTTCCCCCAAATCTATTTTTGGGTTCTCACCTTTTATTAGATGAAATTATTATAGTCGAATGGGACAATAGTTTCTCTAGTATTTGAACTTATTCCAATGTGATATTTATCACCGAGGGAAGTTGTTTTTTCCTCTTTTGTCAGATTTTACAGCGTGAAGTAAATTTCAATTCGAAATGTTTAGTTCTAAGCACATGTACCTCTACTTGACAGTCATCGGACTGATTTGATAAACACCCAAAAAATTGTCCTACTTATATTTTTTTATTTACATGGCTTTTACTACACTTTGAAAATTCAAAATTATTATTCACACACATAAATAATGCATTCTTTTCAAATATTCTTAAAGTTTTTAGGAAAATAAATGCATTCAAGTAAACAAGCAAGTAAATAAACGATTATGAATTTTTATAGACACTATCGTTAAATAGTTAACCTATGTACAACGCTCTGTACTAAATATAGCCCCATTTACCAAAACAATTATGTTTATCACAGCCCCGATGTAAACTTGTTTCAGAGTCAGGATAACGACAAACATCTGTCGTAAACACCAAACACATTCGTAGCACAGGAATGTTATTTATTATTCAGTTAGGGAGGTCTCAACTTGAAACCTTGCTGTTTGGAGTTATTTATGATTCAAAATCAATGAAATTGGAAATATTCGATATTTTAAACACAATTTATTCACTTATATTAAAGAAAATATACAGTGCGAACATAAATATTCCCCCTATTTTTAGGTTTTGAACAGGACACGATTTCGAGGTCGGACAAAATTTACGTAAAACGGTATCATTTTATTACTTTCTGGTAAGAGAAACAATAGTGCTACCAACTTTTTTTTCAATTAGAAGGAGGGGTCTTGTAGTACCTCGTTTGATAGATATTTCAAGTCTCTAGTCATTACTTTTTTATTTTTTGAAATTGGATCAACTCTTCCCGAATAATTAGCAGTTTTTAATTCGTTTTGAGGATCTGCAAACAAACGATAAATATCATTATTTCAAGACAAATGTATTCAAAACTCACTCCAGTTCATTCCAATAAATGTTAAGATGCTCACCATTCACTTTTTGACAATAATGAAGTTTGTTTACAAATTCATTTCTTATATTAATTATAGAATGTTTCTAGGGTAATTTCATTAGGAATGGTTTTGTTGCAAAATATGATGGGACGACTGCTGATTTTGCAGTTCTTCCATATTTTAGATGTGCTAAGTGTTCCTTATATCTTATTTTAATAGATTCTTCTGTCTGTCCATAATATTTTGCATCGCAGTCCTTACATTTAATTTCCAGTCTTTTCCGAATTCTCGACTTCGTCTTTTGAATTTCCTGAAAGGCTCCTTAGTGTATGACTTGTTTTAAAATTAAAAATTTTCAAGGATGTAGGTATGAAGATGGTTTGTAAAGCAAGTCATACACTAAGGATCCTTTTAGGAAATCGAAAAGACAAAGTCGAGAATACGGAAAACTTTGAAATTTGCGAAATTAAATGTAAGGAGTGCGATGCAAAATATTATGTACCATTATTCACCAAGAAAATAATCAACCCACATGATTATTTTATTTGTGTGATCATTGAAAACATCAAACATCATTACAAACATACAAAATGACAAAAATATAATGACATTCAATAACAAATCTTGTTCAAGGAGAGTAGTACTTAATTTTTTTTAATAATATGATACAGGATAGAAGTATTTGCAATTGCAGGTAGTACCAATTTGTGTTTTTTTGTGGTAACTTTGAAATATATCAAGTTAAAAAACTATACCTACTTAGAGAGTTTTGATCCCTTAAAATCAAGGAGACTTGATCCGGGAACATTATATGTATGCTATTATATTACTTTACATATATTGCTTCATATTATTATTACTTATTACTCATATTATTATATTATAGAAATTACGAGGTGAAACTAAAGTTTTTGTCACTATTTTTTGAAGAGACATCGTAATAGAGTTTCAAGAATATTTTGAGGTTACCTTTTTGTAGATTTAAAAACTATCCGAAATCTATTTTTATTTATAATAAGTTATCGGGTTTTCGTATATAGTTTATTCAATTTTTCCCATATTTGTTACTGGTGTAATACAGGGTGTTTATTAAACATGTGGCAAAAATTAGGGAAATATTCCTTGGACTATTCTAAGGATACTTATTCCTTGGACTATTCTAAGGATACTTTGTCCTTTGACAATTTTTGCTAGGGCGCTTTGTTTCCAAGATACGGGGCCAAAAAAAATTTTGACAATAACAATTTTGGTAATTTTGAAATTATTAAGGTAGCCAAAATAAAAGTATACACTGGACCTACCAAATAATATGGGCCACCTTAAGTCATCAGTTCCTACTACTTCAATGGAAGATGTGGATAATTTGAGAAATCAGAAACGATCATGGTGTTTTCGAAAGAGTTCGGGAGTCGATGAGAAGAAGACTTCCCCCTGCTTGCATCCGAGCGGGGGGTAGTCATTTTCAACAATTCTTGTAGAATAGTCCTTATACGAGAAATTGGGCATATTTCGGATATACGGTGTGTTACCTCGTTCACAGGCAGATGGGGCGACGGCAAACCTGTTGTTTGTTGTCCGCTTCACCCTAGTTCGAGGAATGATACTCTGAAGGAATTCGATTTCCAATTATCGGAAATCATCGATTTTATGTTGATGATAGACACTACCTTGCACTGACGAATGACCAAAGAGCCCGAAACCGGTCTGCAAGGTGTTCCAATAATTTAAAATCAACTGCGGCAGTGGTATCGCCAATAGCATATGCAGGAATAACTTCAGTGAAGAATCCTGCAGTGATTCCTGTCGGATATACTCCAACGCCCTTCGTGGGATTAGCCAGGGGAGTAGTTGTTTTCTGATAGGTGTCAGTCCAGTGTAGGGAGTTGAGACTGGCCTGAACGAACTGTTCCTTTAGATGATTTAAAAGAATGAAACAAATATTTGTGGGTACGAATTCGGTTATTCATTACATGAATACATGAAATTACTTACCGCCAAATTTTCTACTCCTTCTCCGATTTGTTCAATTTCTCCGGCACATTCGAATCCAAGAATGAAGGGACATTTCGGGGGTGAGTCAATGGCACCCTGGCGTACCATGAGGTCTTGGAAGTTTAAGCCACTGGAAAAAGAAACGAAACAATAGATATATCGTATCAATTTGTAATTGATTTTCCAGTTTTATCCAAAATTTGAGTGAACACTGTTAGATTTGGTATGGCATTTGTTTATTAAGCCGTGTTAGTTTTTGATCATAATATTTTTACAGAGAAGAATAATCTTTTTTCAAACACATATTTCATAGGCCTTTGCACAATTAGAAAGCTGAGTAGTTTTATACGTTGTTACCTGATTTGATGCCTGATTTGAGTACAGAACATTTTCCAGATATTTGGAACACACCCTAACTTGTCTCCAGCACATTGATAACTCAAGAAACACAACAACGACCTATTCATTCAACCGCCATCATCGATTATACTATCAACATAGTACACGAGAGTAAAATCCACTCAGACTACTATGATTCATTAGCGAGACCATTCATCACTTTCTGGATACTTTCCAAACGCTCAACTGGTTGCTGGGGCGAAAGGCTGTACTATTACTCACGAAATAAGGAGAGTCGGAAATGATGGGATTCGTTCGACTGGTCATCGGACAGTTTTCATGAGAAATTAATGGAAATAAGTCACGACGATTTACGTATTTTCAGCACCGAAAGTCATTCATAAAAGTCGCCATGCTATTAGATGGCGATTGGGTTGTTGATCAAAATTGTGATTCAATTGCAGTATGTATTAGTTGGGCGCTACTAATATTTAATCCATATGATTTTTAGTTAACCCTAACCTTCAGAGAACAAGTGTACCAATTTAACAGCTTTCGGACTATTAGTTTGTGAGATAGAACATTTTGTTAGTCTGAAGAATGGATTAAAATGAATTTCATGTATTAATAAAGCATTTCTTTTTGCAAAAAAAAAATAGAAGCCAAGGCTTGGCTTGATCTGAATTGATGGGGTAACAGGATCAATTTTNTGAAGCTGTTCCACCATAAAAATCCAAATTTATGCGTCGATATGCAACAATGGATGAAACATGGCCCCATCATTTCACACCAGTCGGCTGACAAGTTATGGAATCAGTATTTTGGGATGTGCAGGGTATAATATTCATCGACTTTCTTGAAAAGGGAAAAACCATCAACGGCGACAATTCAATCAATCAATCAATAAATCAATGTATTCAATTCACATAAATATTCTTGTCTATAATAGATGTTAGCATATCTTTAATTTCCTTTCAGTAAGAAATAAACATTTGTAATAAAAAAAAATGATAGAAAGCAATGATCAACCTGAAGAAGTATTGAACCAGACAATAAGGCGAAGAGGAGGCAGGTGTGAGATAAATTTAAAAAAAATTAGACATGATTCAGTGAGTTGATTCAAATATTTTTTTAAGAAATCAAAGTTATGATCAATGAAGGATCTAATTGTTTTCTTGCGTTCATTAATATTTTTTATATTTCTTAGTTCAATGGGAACTTGATTAATATTATTGGAGTTTTTTCCCAACACCAAATCGTTATTTTTAACACCTCGACACATGTTATTAAACTAGTTTAATCTTCCTCTTTGAAAATGATCACTTGGTTATCGAAACACGTGTCGAGGTGTTAAAAATAACGATTTGGTGTTGGGAAAAAACTCCAGTAATATTCATTACTACACCAAAGGTTCCAAACAGTGCATCATATGGGAACTTGATTGACAAGTTTCGGTCCAAAGTAAGTAACAAACCTTTGGGTATATACGTTTTTACAAAAAGGAACACTAATTGTTCTCTCGGATTTGGCTCGGGTGTCGTGTACGTGTGTCAGATATGTGAGAGGCGAGTTAAACGTCCATATTACACAGTGATAGGTGTATAATTTTCTGATATTGAATAAACTAGCCTCCTTATATAGGCTATCAGTTGGATGTCTTCTATCTTTCTTCAATACTATTTTAAGCAATGTGTTTTGTATCACTTGAAGATTATGTAAGTGTGTTTCATTCAACCCACCTGAAACAATAATACAGTACCTTATAACTGGTTCAGCTAATGCATCGTATGTCATCAGTAATAAATGTTTATTTAGTATGTTTTTGAGTTGGTAGAATTTAAAAATAAGTTTTCTAAGTCTTTTCACGAGAAAATCTACATGTTTGTCCCAGCCTACATGTTGGTCAAGTATCACACCCAGATATTTTATTGTATCCTTTTTTTTTATAAGTGGACAAGAAAAAATTAAAGGGGTTCGCCAATTGGGAGTATGTATGAAAATGTTTCCCTCTAATGGTTGGTCTTTTATTGTTGATGAAAAGGTTAGTAATTTTGTTTTCGTTTAGACTCAGGAGACTAAAATTCAGTCACGAGAATATATTTTTCAATCCATTTCATCCATAGTGTCCCATGTGTTACCATAGAAAATCAATGCCGTATCATCGGCAAATGAAACAATATCCCCATCGAAGTCCTTCACGTTGTAAATGCTGTTAATATATAGTAGAAATAAAATTGGACCCGTGACAGTGCCCTGGGGAACACCCATGGCGAGTGGTTGTGTCTGGCAATAAGTGTTTATTTTGACCCTTTGGGTTCGGTTTTGTAAATAATCAGCTAGTAGTTCTAGATGCTTACCCCCAAATCTAAGAACACCGCAACACATTTTTTTCTTTTCGTTAGCTTTATTCAGTATTTTATTCACCAAGTGAAAAACGGCGTTTTCGGTTGACATATTTTCTCTGAATCCATATTTGCAAGGTGATAGAACCTGATGTTTTTCCAGACAATTTACAAGTCTATTTTTTATGGATTTTTCAAAAACTTCGCAAAGTTATTAATTACATAGCGTTATTGGAGCGTTTGAAAGACGAAATCGCGGAAAATTGGGCCTGTTTGAAAAATCCATAAA